AGGGCCCCCGGACATGTCCGTGCAGCCCGAGAAGGTGGCCGGTGGGCAGGATGGGACATGTAAGGGGGACGGTAGCTGGACCTGGCTGTGGGGGCCATGAAGGTGACTTGTGACTTGTGGGTGGGAGCCAGGCCCCAGACCGAGGGAGAGCCTTTGACAAGAAGCCAGGAAGCTGGAGAAGGGGCCTAGAGAGGGCAGTCCGTCAGCCAGGCCCGCCTCCCCGTCCGGCACGTCACTGCCCATCGGCAGGGTCGGCACCAGCCTCTCATCCTTTTAGGCCCCAGGCTCAGCCAGGGGATCAGACGTGGTCAGCGGTGCTCCGTGTGGAACACCGGGTGCTCGGGATCAGGTGGCCCGTGGGGCTAAGGCCGCGCAGGGCTCCTCCTCCAGCCCCAGGCCTGGCTGAGGGTAGGGCCGCTGTGCCTGCTCCAGCCCAGGCTGCACTCTCCAAGCTGGGGCTGCCCAGCCTGGGACCCATCGGGTGCAGCTGCTCATAAAGTTGAGAGCCCCAGTCAACTCTGGATTTCGGGGAAATGGGTCATTGTTTTAAATGTAACAGAAGGGCGTCCCGGATACTGCATGGGACATGCTTATACTAAGATAATTACTCATTCTCTCTCTGAAACCCCAGGCCTCCTGGACTTGACTTTGCTGTGGAGGCTGGGGATGGGAGCTCAGAGCCACTGACTGAAAAGGGCAGAGCGTCACCTCTCTGGCCACCCACATGCCTGTGTGGCTGGGTGCCTGACCCCCACCCAGGAGTCGCGGGGGTGTCTGTGGGAATCTGAGTGAGGGTCTGCATGGCAGTGTGACCCGTATGTCCGCCTGTCCCCGGGGGTCCCCACGTGTGACAGCCATCTCTGCCTCCGCAGGGACCCAAAGGCGAGAGCGTGGGCTCCATCACACAGCCTCTCCCTAGCAGCTACCTGATCTTCAGGGCCGCCTCCGAGTCGGACGGTGAGTGGCCCTGAACGCCTGCAGTGGGCCCCCTGCAGGCCCATACACCCTTGTACATGGCCCCTGGTTCCAAGATGCAAGAGGAGCTGTGGACATGAGCCCTTCCACGGCCACCCAAGAAAAAGGCCCACCAGTCACTCGATGAGCCAGCCTTGGGCCAGGCCAGCCTGCTACTCTCTAGTACCCCTTCCTGAGCCCCAGTTTCCCCATGAGAAATTGGGGGGGACACCTGTCTCCCCAAGAACAGAGGAGCCCTGGTAGCACAGTGGTAAAGCACTTAGCCGCTAGCCAGAAGGTCAGTGGTTGGAACCCAGCACCTCCTCATTGGGAGAAAGATGAGGCAGTCTGCTTCCCTAAATATGACGGCCTGGGGAACCCTCCGGGGCCATTCCGCTCTGTCCTGCAGGGTTGCTGTGAGTTGAAATGATAGCCCCGAGTTTGGTCTCTTGGTTTTGTCTTCCCAGCTGTGATGAGAATTTAGTGACCTTGTGTAAAGCACCAGGTCCCTGGGGGCTGCAGGCCATCCGCAGTCAGCTGCTAACGCACATATGGTGGTTTGAACTCAGTGCCTGTATCCATAAAGAAAGAAAAAACCAACCCAGTGCCATCGAGTTGATCCCACTTGTGGCGGCCCTCACGGGCAGAGTAGAACTGCCTCGTAGGGTTTCCCAGGCTGTAAGTTCTACAGGAGCAGGCCACCCCATCTTTCTCCCGCAGAGCGACCGTTGATCTGAACCACTGACCTTGTGATTAGCAGTTGAGGTTTTAAACACTGAGCCACAGGGCGGCCGAGAAAACCCTACGGGCGGTTCTACTCTGTACACGTGGGGTCAGCATGAGTCCGAGTCAACTCCACAGCAGTGGAGTCTTGTTCTGTTTCTTGGTTTATAAAGCAACCAGCTAACGGCTGCAGAGTGCCAGCCCCCAGCCTCCTTCCCGTTCTCCACATTTGAGAGATGAGGAAACTGAGGCACGGGCAAACTGCCGGCAAGAAAGTGCTAGAGCCTGGGCGTAAATCCAGACCCACCCCCCTGCTGTGGGTGTGCACACTCAGGCCTGTAGCCGCAGCAGTGGTGGCGTTCGGTGCCGTCCAGCCGGCTCAGACTCGTAGCCACCCCACGTGCCACAGAAGGAAGCCTGCACCAGCCTCACGATCTTTGCTGTTTGAGGCTGTTGTCGCAGCCACCGCGTCAGTGCGTCTTGTTGAGGGTCTTCCCTTTTTCACTGACCCTCTATTTTACCACGTGTGTGTCCTTCTCCAGGGAATGGTCCGTCCTGGTAATGTGGCCAAAACAATTTTACTGCAGTTTTGTGTTACCACCGTGCCCTGTCCCATGCTGCCATCCAGCGGCTGCTCTCTGTACATGCAGCTGGCCTCCCTCCCTTGGAGCCCTTCGGGCAGGCACCCCCAGCTCCCATCTGCTGGCGGGTCCAGATGAGCAGGACCCCGGGGCAGACACTGAATCTTGACTGTCCTTGGCCACTGGGGCTCTGGTCTCTGGCTTGGAGCTGTGTGCAGGCGTCCTCTCCTGCTAGTGCATGCTGCCTCCTGGTGGTCAGGCACCACACCACACTCCCTTCAGCTGCTGCCTCAAGTCCCTTCAATTCCACGGCCATTTCTCCAGCCCCCTTGTGGGCCTGGGGTGGACAGGACAGCCCGTGTCCTCATAGATCCCGCAGTCTGGGGGTGGGCAGGGAGCTGTCTGACAAGGCAGATTCAGCTTTAGAGTGAGCCGAGTCCTGGATTTGGGTGGGGGTGTGGTCAAGAGGAAGGCATCCACAGCCTCATGTGTATCAAACTGGGCTTTCTGGAGGAGGTGACAGTGGCCTTGGGATGGGCTTCAGAGGATGTATAGCATTCGGACTGGCAACCACAAAACACAGGCACCAGCCCCCAGGTCTGCCCAACCCAGCAACTGTGCCCTTCCTACCCTGTCCCCCAGGAGTGTTTGGGGGGCTGCTCTGGCTCCAAGCCAGGCAACAATAACCTGGGGGATCCAGGTGCCCCTGGAGAGAACAGGAACCACTTAGGGCCTGCCATGCCAGGGACCCTGCACCCCGTGTTCCCAGCATGCCTCTCTGAATGCCGGGCCCCACGCCACTGCTTGTGGAGAGAAGCACCCCAGTTCAAAGCCCCTGGGAGCAAAGCCCCTTCGTTGTCCTCTGACCCTGTGCCCCACACCAAGGGGACCCCGGAGCCCTTCGCTGGATGATGTCATCAGGACTGTCACCTACTGTTCATGGTCCAAATGGAGACGACTGTCAGCGGGGCTACCATTCATAAAATGGAGATGACTGTCAGCGGGGCCACCGTTCATAATCCCTAGGACGGCGGGGGAAGCTGGGCGGGACCCAGGTGCCCCCAGCAGTTAACACCCTGGGGACACACACGGTGGTGCTGGTCTGACCTGGCTGCCTCTGCCAGGTGGGCAGCAGGCACAGGGACAAGGGCAGGGCCTGAGCTGCCTCTGTGGTTCCAGCCAGAGGCGTCTGTACACAAGCCAGCCTCCCTGTGAGGCTGCAGGCCCCCTCCAGCCTGTGCGCCAGGCGAGCAGGAGGCTCCGGGACAGCTAGGCTCCTGCGCCTGCAGCAGGCAGTTCCCGGGGATGGCGAGCCCTCCTCCCAACCCAGCCCCTGTGTGCCAGCCCCGGAGGAGGCCCTGCCTGGGTTGCACTGTTAGCTTGTCTTGCTGGATAGGTGACCTTGAGTGGTTCCCCCAGCCTTTCTGGGTCCTTGTAAGTGTGTTAAGCAGACTGCGGGGCCCCTCCGATGCGCGGCTTCATCCAGTGGCACCTCCTGCACGTGCCTGAGCACACAGACATGCATGCGCATGCACGCACACAGAGAGACGCACACAGAGACATGCACGCACACAGAGAGATGCACACGCAGACATGCACGCACAGAGAGATATGCATACACACAGCCATGCACACCTGCATGTGCCTGGGCACAGACATGCACGCAGACATGTGCACACAGAGAGACATGCACACATGCATATGCACACATTGAGACACACAGACGTGCACACACGTACAGATATGCACATAGATGCATGCACACTTGCACACACGCATGCAGATGCACATGCACGGAGACCCATGCACATGCACACAGAGAGATGCACGCGCACACTGACTCGTATGCGCACACACAGACACACACACAGTCCATGGCCTTAGCTCCTTGGTGTCTGAGCTGTGTGGGGACCACCTACTTGGTGGGGATGGGGCGGGTTGAGGGGCAGGAAGACTCTCTGGAGAGGGGACGGGGTGAGGTCCCCACATAGTGGTGGGGGCTCTATCGGGCAGGTGTAGGAGTGGGGTAAGCGAGCAGCCTCTGTGCTGTGGTCGCTCGCTGTACTGGCTGGAGGTCTGTCGTGCTGCTCACTCGGCTCTGCCCTGCAGGCCGCTGCTGGCTGGATGCCCTGGAGCTGGCCCTACGATGCTCCAGCCTCCTGCGGCTCGGCGCCTGCAAGCAGACCTGCGACAGTGAACCCAGCTCCTCGCCCGACACGTCGCCCTCGGCGCTCTACAGGCTGCCCGGCTCGGCCGACAACCACCCTGAGCGGGACCTGTTCCCGTGAGCAGGCGGGGTGCCGGGGACTCTGGGCGACACTCACCGTTCGCGAGTCTCCTCTTACATGGGGAAGGGGGGCTAGCACGTTGAGGCTCAGACATTGTCCCCCAAACCTCCCACTGGGAGACAGGGCTCTGGCTCTATCCACCAGCCCCCACTGGCCCGGACAGGCACTGACTGTCTATAAGACAGGCCAACACTGTGGAGTGGAGACGGTTAAACTCGGGGAGGATGTGAGACCCTCCGCAGTGATGGGGGCCCGGCCGGGGTGGGTGTGCTCAGCCTCTCCTGGGGCCAGGAACAAACCCTCCCATCCACCCTCCAGACTGAACGGGTCGTCACTGGTGAGCCACCTGGAGAACGACGCATTTTCTGACAAGTCAGAGAAGGAGAACGCCGAGGAGTCTGACAACGAGGCCCAGGACCACCGCCGGAAGACCCCCGAGAGCGGCAGCGACCAGTCAGAGCCGCGGGGCAGCCCGGCCCGGAACGGGACCACGTACGTGGAGCAGGCCTGCGAGGAGCTGGGGGAGGTGAGAGGTGGGCCGTCGCCACGGAGCGGGCGGGACAGGTGTGCCGAGGGCGGGCTGTGCGGTGCCCAAGTCGGGCCCTGCTGCCCACGCCGTGCGCTGTGCTAGGCTCCACGTGTGGGCATAGTCCTCTCACCTCACCCTGCCTGGCCCAGTGGGTGGACACAGGGACCGCAGATGGGGTGCGGGCTCCCTGCAGACAGGCAGCTGCACTGTGGCTGGGACGCACCTGGGTGAGGCTCTGGAGGGACCGGGGCCCAGTCTGGGGACCGCAGCTCGGCTCCGTGGGGAGACAGAGCCCACGCCGCGCAGGTTCCAGTCCACATACCAGCTGAGCACCTGTGCACACCTGGTCAGGGAGCAGACCTAGTCCCTGTCCCCACAGGAAACACAGACCAGACACAACCAAGGGGGAGGATGTCATGGGGGGCAGGGGAGACACACTGGGTGAGGTCATGGGGATGCAGTCAGGGATACCTCTGTAAAGGGGACTGGAGACCTGGGTGGCAAGAGGGGGAGGGGACCTGGCGAGGGAACGAGTGCCCAGGCCTCAGGACAGGAAGTGGGCGGTGGTACCTTCAGGAGCAGTGGGTGGATCGGCTCACCCGCTGTGATGCCGAGGGGGAGCGGATGTAGGCACCGAGGGGTCTCAGTGAGAGGCGTGTGCAAGGACACTCAGGACTCGGAGCTTTGCGCGGGTGGGTATTGTCAGGATTAGTGTCGTCACGACGCAGAGCGGAGACGGGACAAGAGCGGGGTAGCCGTGGTTGACCAGGAGCAGCGGCTTGGCCGGGAGATGATGTTGGGCCATGCAGGGGTCCAGGCCGTGTTCTGCTTCCGTCTGGACCCAAGTGCAGTCTCAGAGGACCTTGTCTTTGGCTCTGTGACGACCACAGTAGTCTTGTCCGATGCCAGTGCCCTGAGAAATCGTCTGTGGTCAAGCTCTCCCCGGGGCAGGGCCCCTCCCAGCACAGTGACAAAGTCACACAAAATCCAAAGAGAGGGTTTTGATCCCAGGATTGGGGGTAGCTCCTCTTGGAACTCAGGAGAAGGGAGGGGTCTTCCCAGACCAAGAGGGGCGCCCAGGTGCACTGGGTGAGGGGCCGGGGTCTACGGTCTAGGCCTGGGCCAGGCCCCGGGTGCCCTCCTGGCTAGAGCGAGGGATGTCCCCAGGGAAGGGGTCACTCAGGTGGGATGGAGTTGGAGGTGTGTGTCTTCGGGGTGACAGGGTTACGGCGGCCACTCGCCCACCCCACCTGCTCCAGGGCTCTGCCCCAGGTGCAGACAGGCCAGAGGTATGTGGTGGCAGGGTGGCTGGTTTACAGTGGGGGCTCTGCTGCAGGTGGGTGAGGCGGCTCAGGTAGAGACCGTGTCTGAGGAGAACCGGAGTCTGATGTGGGTGTTGCTGCGGCAGCTGCGGCCAGGCATGGACTTGTCCCGCGTGGTGCTGCCCACGTTTGTGCTGGAGCCCCGCTCCTTCCTCAACAAGCTGTCCGACTACTACTACCATGCCGACCTGCTCTCCAGGTGAGCCCACGTGCGCCCGGCCCGCCAAGGCCCCAGCCCCAGTGGGGAGAAGGTGCACCATGGGTGGCAGGTTGGTGCCCGGAGCCCCGCAGCACCTGCCTGCCCCACCGAGGTTTCTGGTTGCCCCACTAACCCCCGGGGCCAGGCTGACCTTGACCACTGTCCCCACAGGCTCTGGCCCTGAGAGGTGCTCTATCCCTGAGGACCTGGGGGAGGGGAGGGTTGGAGGTGGCATGCACCCTGAGCCCTGCACTGGGGCCTCAGGATGAGGGCTGCCCGTCACCATACACTCAGGAGCCAGGCCCAGGGCCCCAGGAAGGGCAAGAGCAGCTGGGGCCTCCACAGAGGCAGGGGCAGCATGGTGGGACCCCAATCCTGTGGTCAGGGAGACCCACCTCATAAGGGACGTCTCACTTCAGGGCCAACCAGGCAGGAAGAGTGGGCCCAAGGTGTAGTGGCCAGGGGCCAGTGTGCAGTGGTTGGGTGCACTCAGGGTGGCAGTGGGCAGCCTGGGCCCGGCCTGGACTCAGGGGCTCTCTGCCACCACAGGGCGACGCTGGAGGAGGATGCCTATGGCCGCATGAAGCATGTGCTGCGATGGTACCTGTCAGGCTTCTACAAAAAGCCAAAGGTGAGGAACCCGTGGGTCGGCTCAGCACCTTCCTGGCACCCCTGCCTCTGGGCCACCCCCTGTGACCCTGAAGGTCACCCCACGGTGGCCTAGGTCCTCAGATAGGGGGGCAAGGCCCCACTCCCCCAAAGCAGGCAAGGCTGCAGGGGTGGTCCCGACCTCCCCACAAACACAGAGCCTCACAGAGGTGCAGGAGAGGCCGGGGCGTGTGAGGCACTGAGCTTGGAGGAAGGTTTGGGGTTTGTGAGTGCATGGCTTGTTGTTGAGTGGTTGGCCCCCTTAGAACCCCAAACCAGGACGCAGTGAGGCTGCTCTGGTTGTAGGGAAGGGAGGGGCCGCAGCTCTGCCCCGTCCACAACCCAACACTGAGCCCTGGGGTTCCATGGCACCCTAGTTTGAAAACCACAACTCTGGCTCCACCGCTTCATTGTGCAGGTGGGGAAACTGAGGCTCAGGGAGGGGAAGGGATGCCCTAAAGTCAGGCAACAGTTTGGGGTGACACCAGGTCCTGACTGCCTGGTGCCTGCAGGGCTGGGCCACAGCCCCTGCGGCCTGGCAGACCCATGGTGCCCAGGCGCTTGGCTGCACAGGGAGCGTGGAGTTGGGCCGGAGGGCCTTCTCACGGGCAGAGGCTCTGGGCAGGAGGCAGTGGGGGCCGTAGGCTCAGCCTTGGAGGGTTGGTGAGGAGTTGATGGGACACCATGGGCTGCAGGGGCCAGTCAGAAAGGTGACCATCCTGCCGCAGGCCAACCCCAAAACATTCATGGAGCACCTCCTGTGTGTGCTGAGCCCCAGGCCAGTGCTGGGACACACAGACCTGCCCCCTGTGCTCTCAAGGCCCACAGCCTGCAGGGCAAGGCCGATGGCACACACACAAACACACACACACAGAGCACAGGGTTGGGGTCCTGGGGGTGAGGTGAGGTGTGACTGGCCTCATTAGAACAGATCCAGGGGTTCAAGCTGAAGAACGAGAAGCAGCAGCCAGGTGGAGATGGGGCAGGAGCCACATCCTCTGCAGGAGCAGAGTGGTCATCTGGGGAGCAGAGGGTCGAGGGCCCATCTGAAGCTGAGGGGAGGGGCCAGGCGCCAGGAAGGCAGGCAGGCCAGAAGACTAGAGGTTTTATTTCAGGAGTCACGGGAAGCCTCAGGTTTGAGCAAGTTGAGGGAGCCCCACCCCACATCCAGGGAGAAGGGGGTGTCTTAGTCTTAGTGCTGCTATAGCAGAAATACCAAAAGGGGGAGGCTTTGATGAACAGAAATTTTATTATTTTCTCACAGTTCAGGAGGCTGGAAGTCTAAAGTCAGGGCACTAGCCCTAGGGGAGTTCTCTCTCTTTTCAGCTCTGGGAAAGGTCCTTGTCTCCTCCCAGAGTCTCTGGGCCCGGTATTCCTTGGAGATGTCCGTGTGTGTAGGCATCAGTCTTGCTCTAGGTCTAGGAGCTTCCAGCACAGGGACCCTGGGTCTAAAGGACACGCTCTGCTCCTCGCTCTTCTTTCTTGGTGGTGCTGAGGCCCTCTGGTGGCTGCTCGATTGCTTAACCTCTTTTATATCTCGTAAGATTACAACTCGAGATACAACCTAGTGCTGTAGACTATTAATGATAACATTGCTGCCTCCGATCCTGCCTCGTTAACATCACAGAGGTGAGAGTTCACAGCACACAGGGTAACGACACCAGAGCACACCATGGAGGGTAACCACATATGCCAAGAGCCACGGCCCAGCCCAGTTGACACATGCTTTGAGGGCATACAATTCAGTCCACAAGAGAGTTGTTGGGGTCCCTGCCCACTCGGAGCAGAGAAGCAGGCCAGACCAGAGTGGGGCCATGAGAAAAGCATACTCTCCCCAAAGCAAAAGTGGGTGCTGCTCTGCGGTCCCATCTGGTCCCAGGCTGGGGACAGCCACCCTGCTGTCCCTCCAACCCCACCCTGCCTGCATGGTCTGCCCTCAGAGGCTCAAGCTGCCAGGTTCCTCCCTTAAGGCTCTCTGTCCCTTGTCTGAAGGGGATCAAGAAGCCCTACAACCCCATCCTCGGGGAGATCTTCCGCTGCCGCTGGTTCCACCCGCAGACCGACAGTCACACCTTCTACATCGCGGAACAGGCAAGGGTCCCGATGTCCAGCAGACTCGGCAGGGGCGGGGCCGAGAGGGCAGGGGCGGGGCCGAGAGGGCAGCGGCCTTCAAGTTCTTCACCGCTGCCCACGGCCTGGGGGTTCTCCCAGAAAACACTGACTGAGCTGGTCTGTGACAGCATGGAAGTTCTCCACAGAGAGAACAGGATGGGACATGGCTGTCATGTCACCTCTGACTCCTGGTGACCTGTGTGTGTCACAGTGGAACTGCGCCCACAGGATTTTCAATGGCAGGTCTTTTGGGAGCAGCTTGTCGGCCCTTCCGTCTGAGTTACCTCGGGTGGACTCACCCCTGCAAGCTGTTGGTTAGCAACAGAGCAGGTTCACTAGTTGCACCTCAGGGGGCCCCCATAGGGAGAGGGCCAGTAATCCCAGTCTGCTCCAGGCCCCGTGACTCAGGCCTGGCTTCCTTAGGCACATTGGGCAAGCTCTGGGCCTGGGCGGGATGTGTGGCAGGGAGGCTTTCTCCTTGGGACAATGAGCCCTCACCTCGCTGGGCCACCCTTCTGCCCCTTCCAGGTCTCCCACCACCCGCCTGTGTCTGCCTTCCACATCAGCAACCGGAAGGATGGCTTTTGTATCGGTGGCAGCATCACGGCCAGGTCCAAGTTCTATGGTGAGGACGCTGGGCAGAGGTGGGCTGGGCAGAGGGTGAGGCCGTCTCCGGTGGTGACCATCTACATGCCCCTCACCACCAGGGGCCACACAGGTGGTGGAAATGCTCGGAGCCCGGGGCCAGGCAGAACCCGGGGCCAGGCAGAACGGGGTCAAGGCCTGGTCCCTCCCCAGCCTCACACTCTCCAGCCATAACGTAGGCACCATTTGCAGGGATGGGTGAGAGTCAAAAGAGAGGACCTGCAAGAAAATGTGCAAGTAAGGACTACGCTCTCCAATAGGGCGGCCGGCAGCCAGGAGAGTATTTAATTAAAAGTCGACGAAATTTAAAATTCAGTTTCAGTCACACTACCCACATCACCAGTGCTCAGCAGCTTGGTGGCTGCCTGTCTCATCTCCCGGGGCTGCTGTGAGAGACACCCACACATACGGGCTTATCAGTGACCGCCTCGGTTGTCCAGTGCTGCCGTAACAGAAACAGCACACATACGGGCTTATCAGTGACCGCCTCGGTTGTCCAGTGCTGCCGTGACAGAAACAGCACACATGGGGGCTTGTCAGTGACTGTCTCAGTCTCTCGGTGCTGCCGTGACGGAAACAGCACACGTACGGGCTTATCAGTGACTGCCTCAGTTGTCCAGTGCTGCCGTGGCGGAAACAGCACACATGGGGGCTTGTCAGTGGCCATCTCAGTCTCCCAGGGCTGCTGTGATAGACACACCACACGGGGGAGGCTCTGATGAACAGAAATGTATTGTCTCAGAGGCCGAGAGGTTAAAAGTCCAAATCAGGGCTTCCTTTCTTGGCAGCCCAGGCATTGCTTGGCGTGTGGACAGCTCTCACGTAGTTCTCAAGCCCGTGCCCGTCTCTGTGTCAGATCTGGTGCCACCACTTACAGTGATCAGCTTGAGGACCCATCCAACACTGAAATGGGCTCCTAACTAACAAAAGAAATCGTATTCCTAAATGGGACTACATCCACAGGTGCAAGGGTTAGGATTCTGCCTCAGGCCTGGTTCTCTCGAGTAGCAAAACCAGTGAAGCGTGTACGTGCATGCATGCGTGTGTGCGTGTGTGTGTGTGCGTGCATGTGTGGAGGGAGATCTAATTCCAGGAAACAGCTCACACAGTGTGGAGGCTGCCAAGTCCCAAATCTGTGTGTCAAGCATCAGGCTGGAAGCTTCTCCCTGGTTCCAGGGGCTGATGACCCCACGATCGGTAGGTCAGGGAGCAGACTTGAGTCACAGGGCTAGGGCAGCTGGCCAGTCCCCAGGTCAGCAGGTCAGATGGCAGGCTGCTGGCTCTCAGGGCTGCGGAAGCTGGCAGATCCCAGACTTGGCAGGTCAGACGACAGGCTGCTGGCTCAAGTGCCAGGAACAGGAGGTCAGATGATAATGAGCCAATGCAAGAGGGCGTTGTAGCAGAGCATCAGTGTTTATGGGATGCAGTCACACCCTCAGGGAAACTCCTCTTGCGTCAGATAAGGGTGGTGACTTGAGCAAAGGTACAACTGCTGTCAAGGACCAACTAGGGTTACACCCCACCCTAATCCTGCCTCATTAACACAGGTAGGATTTACAACACAGAAAATGGGGGATGGGTACATCAAATCACAAATGGAGGGTACTTAAATAATACAGGGAGTCACGGCCTGGCCATGTGACACATCACATTAACCATCATGGATTCCAGTGCAGATTTGGGGCACACAATTCAGTCCACACGCCTCTGTATCACAGAGCAGAGCACAGAACAGTTCCCTCATCACAGAGAGTTCTGGACAGCACTGCCCTGCAGCCCGGTAGCGGGGGCACTCAGAAAGTGTTTGTTTCCACACTTGTTCGTTTACGAGCAGGTGTGCTCAGTTCCTCTGTGTGCACAGCGTTTTCAGGGTACACGGGAGGGAACTTGTGGTGCCTGCTCTCAGAGCCAGTGCTCGGGTCAGCACACGCTGTCCACCTGTCACTCACAGTGGCTGCGATTCTCAGGCCATGGTGGGAGGTCTGGCCCTCTACTCTGTTGTTGTTTGTCGTCACCAAGTTGGGTCTGACTCATGGCAACCTGCATGTAACAGAATAAAACACTGCCCAGTCCTGTACCTCTTCATAATTGTGGGTATGCTTGAATCCATTGTGGTGGCTCTTAACCCCTCTTCCATAACCAAACCCCTAGCCATTGAGTCAATTCCAAATCCCAGCAATTCTGTAGGACAAAGTAAAGCTACTTCATAGGGTTTCCAAGGCTGTAATTATTGCCAAATCTTCTCCTGTGGAGACACTGGTAGGTTTGAACCGCTAACCTTTTGGTTATCAGCCAAGTGTTCACAGGAGTGTTTAAAATTAGAGTAGGCAGTCAAGTTGTTTTCAAGGGTCCCCTAAGGGTGCCAGCTCCATGTGGAAAAGTGCCCAAAGGCACTTAACTGCAAACCAGAAGGCTGGCAGTTCAAAGCCACCAGCCACTCCTCGGAAGGAAGATGGGGCAATCTCCTTCCATAGTGATACTGCCTCGGAAACTCGAGGAGGGGTCGCTATGAGTCGATGGCATATAACAACAATGACAACAACAAGTCACTGAAGTAAAACATTAACATGGGGCAGGTTAAAGAACTCATCAGGACAGATGGCCCATCAGACCTGGACAGGGATTTTACAGAACTGGAAGCTCAGAGAGGACTCATCCACAGTTACCCTGCCAGATGTGCCAGGAACTCTTTAGACTTTCTGGAAGAGAGCTCAGAGCCTGTGACTTTGAGGTATGGTCCCCAGGTCCTGAGGACCTGTCTCCACTCACTTGTCCCACTGCCCCTTCCCTCTGCAGGGAACTCACTAACAGCTCTGCTGGACGGCAAGGCCACGCTCACCTTCCTGAACCGAGCTGAGGATTACACCATCACCATGCCCTACGCCCACTGCAAAGGTGAGAGGCAGGGCTGAGCTGCCCCCACACGGAGGGCAGAGCCCCCCCCCCCGTTCCTTCAGTGAGAGCGCCTGCCGGGTGAACTCTTCTGGTTGGGGTGTGTTTGGAGTGCATTATTTCACTTGCTCATACTTCAGTGATAGTTTAGCTGGGTATAACTTTTTTCTCCTCTTTGAAGATTTTTACTGCCTCCTGGCTTTTGTTGTGACTGATGATGGGTGAACTCTCTGCCTATTTGTTAATGTGATTCTGTTTCCTCTGTAGCTACTTTTAGTGTCTTCTCTTTGTCTTTCGTGTTCTACAACTTCACTAGTGTGTCACGGTTTGAGGTTTTTGTTTTTTGTTTTTTTTTTAACTTTTTGAAATTTGAAGTCATGGCTTTGATTAAGCCTAGAAAAAAAAATAGCGGTATGAGAGTTGGTAGTATCTTTGCTATTGGTCAAATTAAAAAATATATTATTTTAGTAAAATCTATGTGACATAAAATTTGGCATTTTAACCATGTAAGGTTACAGCTCAGTGGCATTAATTATATTCACAGTGTTGCTCAACCATCACCACTATTTACTTCTAAATATTCATCACCTGCAACAGAAACTATGGGCTCATTGGGCAGTAACTCTCCACCACCTCGCCCTTCCTCTTGGTAACCACTAACTGCTTTCTGTTTCCATGCAATGGCCTATTCTAGGTATTTCATATAAGTGGGATCATATAATATTTGTACTTTTGTGTATTATTTCCTTCGTTTAGCATAATGTCTTCAGGGTAGGTCTGTGTTGTAGCCTGTATGAGGACTTCATTCCTTTTATGTCTGAATGATACTCCCCATGTTGTGTTTATCCATCATCTGTTGATGGACACTTGAGTTGTTTCCACCTTTCGGCTGTTGTGAATAATGCTGCTATGAACTCTGGTGTACAAGTATCTGTTTGTGTCCCTGCTTAGGTCTTCTGGGTATATACCTAAAAATAAAACAAAAAAAGAAAGAAAGAAAGAAAGAAAAACCCTCACTGCCATTGAGTGATTCTGACTCATAGCAACCCCCCACAGGGTTTCCAAAGCCTTCTGGAGCACAGGTCCCCTGAAAACCCTCTGGAACATGGTTCCCCTGAACACTGTATAGAGCACAGTTCCCCTCTGACATGCGTGGGGCTGCTGTGAGACGGAGTCCTTGCTCCTGGCATGGCCAGAGGAACCCCTGGGCATTTCCTGTGTCAGAGCTGAGTCGGCCCTTTCTCTGGGGAGCACAGGTTCTAGTCAGAAGTGGGATTGGAGACCACACTCTGGAGGCCAGATATTCTCCCTCCAGTGACGTGAGCATGGCAGCCTTTTGTGTTTTAGGATAAACCAGATCACGTGTCCACACTGACACTTGTGGTCCAGATTCAAGATGGCAGGGGATTTTATTTAATTTGTCGATCTTACCTCTGTGTGTTTCCTCTCCCATGCCCATCAGCCCAGTGTTCAATGATATCACCCTGACAATGTCTTCTCCCACACTGCACACTTAGTCTCAGAATGACACACCAGCCCTGCTGCCAACACCATCATGGCTGAGCCAGTGTGTGGTTCAGTATTTGCCATTGTTTTTATCCTGGTGTATCCCGCTGGGGTCCACAAAGTTATCCCGAATAGTTCCTCTCTGAAGTTAAGCCACTCTGTTGGCTCACGGGCGTCAGAACAGCATCTCTTCATGACCCAGTTATATGCCATTGTATAGATGGGCCACACTGTGTTTTTCCATCTGTTGATGGATGGACACTCAGCTCATTTCCACCTGTCCTGGTTCCCTAGTGCTGCTCTGACAGGAATACACCACAAATGGGATGCCTTAACAAACAGGAGTTTATTCTCTTACAGTTTGGAGGCTTTAAGTCTGAGTTCAAAGTGATAGGCTCTAGGGGCTGGGTGAAAGCCCCTCAACCTTGAGCTTCAGCTCTGCCTCTTGCTCCCAGCTCACTGAAGCTAGAGGCTTCTCTTCACTCAGGCAGCTACTGGCTGCTAAGGCTAACAAGCCCAAGGTTGACAAATAAAATGGCACAGTCCTGATGTTACCAAACCACATGGCAGGCCATTAATTCAAGTCCATTGAAAGTCCCAGGGTCAGCAGAGCATGGCAGACTGCTGAACAACGACACAGCT